TAGTTAGGTGTTGTAACATGTTTGGTTATAGTTGAGGTAGTTAGGTTTTGTAACAAGTTTGGTTATAGTTGAGGTAGTTAGGTGTTGTAACAAGTTTGGTTATAGCTGTTTCTCCCTTGCCGGGACGTAATTACCTATGCTGTCGAATTCATTGCCGGGATAGTGTAGACCTTATTGATCCCTTGTCGGGACTCTTGTTATGGTTGTTGTTAATATTATATGTGGGTCGGGTTGCACGCAGCAATAATATTATATGTGGGTCGGGTTGCACGCTGCAACAATACTATATGTGGGTCGGTTGCACGCTGCAACAATGATATTTGTGGATCGGGTTGCACGCCGCAACAATGCTAAATGATATGGATCGGGTTGCACGCCGCAACAGTGTTGTTAGATATTGGGATCGGGTTGCGCGCCGCAACAATTATTGATACAAGTATGTTTATTTTGGATATTAGTTTCTTTTGTTCGCTGGAAATTCTAAACAGCCCTTAGACTGTTACTCTAGATTTACTGTTAATACTAGTATACCTCCGCAGCATGTTTCCCCCTCCCATCTTTACTTGTTTATTCCTGCTTTACTTTCTGCCGTATATTATATAACTGCACAGGTTTAATTGGTAGTCCGGTTTGTCACGTCCCAAACTACACCCTAGACGTGACTGGCACCCAGCTAACAGCACCTGCCGGACGAACCATACTTTCTTACCTTAGCCATTAATTTGCAGCATTTGATTAATTAAATGAGTATCCAAATAATCTGATAACTATTACGAACAATTAATATCTCAAAATATTAGATTAGAACTCTAGCCCAAATCTCACACTAGACCATGGAGCATCTAAGAGAATTATAAAAGACCTCATATGTATAAATGATAAAGACTCTTTGGGCAGCCTCCACGAACAATGCGGCGGCTCACCTCAATAACTGAATCAACTCTAGCAAGCTCGTCGGCTACTAGCTCCGTCTTCACCAATAGTATCTGCATGGACATGCAGGTAAGGAGTGAGTTATGCGTAAATGTAACCCAGTAAGATCATCGACCCGCCACTCTAAATACCTCTGGAACAAGTGTTAGAAAATACACATACACAACGAGCACACAAATAATATGCACAGAAATAATTACTCTATAAGGCCCAAACAATTATTCAACAACAATACTATATATATCTCAACACAATCTACACTAAGGACTTGTCATTAACGGCAGTGTAGGAAATTAACAAAACACCCCAACGAGTCCACGACAGCATACACAATGCCCCAAATCTATCACGGCGGCATACACAATGCCCCAAATATATAGCGGCAGCATACACAATGCCCCAAATCTATCACGGCGGCATACACAATGCCCCAAATATATAGCGACGGCATACACAATGCACCAAATATATAGCGGCGGCATACACAATGCCCCAAATCTATCACGGCGCACGGCCGTATCAAACTCAACACATGGCGCACAGCCGTATCAAACTCAACATCATGGCGCATAGCCCGTATCAAACTTAACATCATGGCGCACAGCCGTATCAAACTCAATATCATGGCGCACACCCGAATCAAACTATAAAACTCAACCTCATGGCGCACAGCCGTATCACACTATCAAACAACTTATAAAATAATATTTTTTTTTCATAAAATAATATATTTGCGGCTAGTCTAAGACCACCGACTCTGCCAAGCGCACGCTTGTCCCAACACATGGACCAGGCAGAGAAAACACACTTTTAAAACGGGTTTTAGAAAAGCAAGTATGAAAGTATAAAGTCTCACTTACCTCGCTAAATGGCATGTACCCCGACCTCGCAACGTCTGAAACATCAACTAAACAGCATCTAACGGCTCCAATCTCTCGAAGCCAACTAATTAATGGTTGACTTCTTATCGATCCAAATATTCAAATTCTGTGCAACCCGAAATTATCAGTAAGTTGTTAGCCCGATTTCAACTACTCGGTCAGCTTTACCTTTTTTCTTTCTTTTTCCCTTTGTTTTGCTTCTCCGTGCACTGTTGATTAGTGCAAAGCACTCTCCCTTTCAAGTTTCTTTTGATTTCTCATATCTGGAGATTTAATTTGATTTGTTGTTGTGTCTTCCTTTAATTTCTTTTCTTGATCAAAGTAATAGTCCAAACATCAGTTCGTGCTTCCGCCGTCAGTTGCTTGTTCAAAGTTTCTCTCTTTTAATCCTTTTTATTTTCTTATCAAATATGAGACCTAATATGCTCATAATTAACCTTCTTCCAAGGTAATGCCACGTGAGCAATTAGAAGTATCGGCTGGCCCACTTGTTAAACTTTACATAGTAGACTAAGTTCACTTCCTCCTAGTTCTCGGCATATAGTACGTAATTAGGGCACTATCCACTTATAAATTATCTATCTTATACTTCATACACATGTAAATAATATTTGTGTCAATAATATATATATGTGCTCACATCGATATAATTAATAATTATCCTTTTTAGTATGTAACCCGTTAAAATTAATAAACTATAGTTAGAGAAATAACTTAAAAGTCAACTCTTAAAATATCGGACTATTACACGGTCCTAGCCTCGTCACTATTTCGCCGAGGTTAGGCTAGGTACTTACCAGCACATGGGGTCGATTGTGCTGATACTACACTCTGTGCTCTTTTGCACTGATCCAGGTATTGGACAGCATCAGTAGTTGGAGGGCTTCCTTCAGTCCGCCCAGGGACCCAAGGTAGACCTGCAGGCGTTCGCGGGCCCTGGCGTCTCCCTCTATCTTCATTCACTGTTTCATTATCTTTTGTTCAGAAACAGTTTATTGTATTTTTCTTCAAACCTTGTATGTAGTAAATCTTAGATAGTCTGTGACCACTGTGACACCAGTTCTTGGGTAGAGGCTTATGTTGTATTTCCGCATTTTTATTCAGTTTCTTTAATTTAAGACTTCCGCTTAATTATTAAATTCCATCGTTTGCATGTGATTGCTGATATTTGTTAAAAGAGGTAATGTGTTAATGAAAAAGGTAATTAAGGTTTGGCTTGCCTAGCTCCCACTAGTAGACGCCATCACGACTGCCGAGGGTGGGAATTCCGGGTCGTGACATTGGGACTATCCGCCCAACTTCACATTTTTCAAGTGAAATCAATATTGATTGCATATTTTTTATTTAACTAATCATTTATTTGTCCAAATTTCATGACAGATTCGAGCTCAAGATCATGTTAATATTCATAATATTGAGCGTTGTATTATATCAATAATATCGTCAATAATTATTTTACATCGGTTCCATCATCATACAATAAAGACATAACTTATCAAGATCTCATTATTTTCAGGTACCTGAGTCTCTCCCATGAGGTCTTATAAGCACGTTATTATGAATAATCTTTGTCACATGAAGTATATATTTTAACATTCACTTTCAGGAATGACTGTGCAGTTACAATGCTTATCACAAGTCACATTTTCAAGTAATGGACTATAATCACGTGAGCGTGTCTCGGATTAACAGAACACATCGAGACACATTTCCTTCACCTTTGAAGGATTATTTGGAGAAACCTTATTGTTCTCCTTTTTACAATTACCATATGATGACTATTATTATTTTGATCTTTGGCACGGCCATTTTCATTGGTCAACCACTTGTCTTCATTTAGACTTATTTTGCACCGCCTATCACATTCGCTTAAAAAATGGAGCAAATCAAGTGGGACAAACTTCATGCTTTTTCATGAAAAATATATTATTTTTATTAGTCATCATTAGATCATCAATATGGTGCATTGGGACACAAACCCAATGCCTTACCCATATAAAGGCATGTAACGCTATAATGCGTTGGGACTAGCTCGAACCCAACTCTTATCATCATGTTGCACCAGGACTCAAACCCGATGTCTTACCCTCGTGGTGCGTTGGAACTTGAACCCACCGTCTTACCCTCAGTTAAAATTTTACCGGTAGTCACCCTCAAGCATTTGAAAATATACCTTGTCGTTGTATATTAAGTTTCAATAAGACATATAGTATTACTATTCTTGCTTTTGGTGGTCATATCGTTGATGCATAACTGAAGTTTTAAAAACATTATAGGCAAAAACCATTTATTTCTCATAACTTACATGCCGTATAGTATTCTAAATTATCTTATTCTGCACAGTTTCAAAATAATTGACAATATTTTTAACATTAATGAAAAAGTCAATACTGGAATGACTCTACCTTCTTGTTGTCTCCCACATCGATTATAAAATAGGAGTAGCCATGTATATTCTCAGTCACAAGAAACTAAATATTAGAATTTGTAGTGCAATAGAATGTACTAAGACTACCATATACAAATAATAAAAAATTAGTTTGCAGAGATACAAACTCACTCAATCTTCCAATATACGAGAATTTAAAGTTTTGATCAGTCAATACAAATTCAAAATGCTTTTCCATTTGGATCGTATATTTGTTTATCAAAAATGTATACTGGTTGTGCTTAAGATTACTTGAGAGAAACTTACCTCACATTACCATTTCAAAAGTCAGAATGATGCATGATGGTCAACCACATATTTTATAAGAAAACCTTCAGATAAGGGAAACTTTCATGACCAATAAAGAACCTTATTATTCCTTTAGTTATATTTGATGTTATTCTTTGAAATTGCTAAATGAGAAAGAAAAACCCATCTCTTCAAGAGGAATATTAGGTACGGATGGAACATCCTTTTCATGATGTTGAACAATTTTGTAGATGTAAGTAACTCAATTGGATAAAGACTCGTGCTGCTAACGTGTTAAGAAACTAAATTAAAATAACAATATGAAATAAGAAAATAGACAAGAATGTAGAGAGCAAGAGATGAGAGCTCCTTATTTCTTTCAAATATTTCAAGTGTGTACAATGTGATGCTCAAACCCTCTATTTATAGGATAATATTTAGGTAATATAAAGGGATATCATGAACGTGATATTAACTATTGAGATCGTGATAAAAATTCTGGAGTGGATTGTAAAAATATGGGAATTACAACAATAATAGTAAGAAGTAGTGCGTCAGCCAACCCCCTAATTACAAGAGCCTTTTAATAGATTTTGTGGTCATAATACTACGACAACTAGTACAGAAAATTGAAGTGTGGTTAAAAAAGAAATAAGTAGTACTATATTTTAAAGAGAGAGAAAAATAAACTAGAAGTAGAAAGATTGCCACATCATCATCATCCAAACTTGTCACAAACATTTGGCGCTAGCTTTTTCTCTAGTATCAGTTACAGCCTCTTCTTCTCCTCCAACTCATAATATCCTCTACCCAAAATTGTAGCAGCCATGGGAGCTGGAGGAACCCTCTTCTGTTCTCAGAGTTGGAGTTTTGTAGTTTGTAATTACACTCAAAAAATTCATGCCCAAAATAATCGAGCTTTGGCATTGAAATCAGTACTTGTACACAAATTGACCAATTTTACTAATCAAGATTCAATTTTGAGAAAACCCCAGAATCTTCCTGTTCTTCGACTTAAGGTTGTTACTAGAGCTGCTGATTCCTCACAGCCATCTTCCTCTGCTATTACTTCCTCCGACAAATCTATTGTCCCCGATAAAGAGTTTTCACTTGCCAAGGTACTTTCCTTTTCTTTTCGTTGAATTTAACATTTACTCCATACCTTCCAAAAAGATTGTCTTAGCTTGATTTGGCATAAACTTTAATAAAGAAGATATGTGGTCTTCAATAAATCATAACAATTGTGTGGCCGTAAACTTCTGAAACTTATGGTCTTAAAGTCATAGCATTTGTTTGGCTATAAATTCTTTCTATTAAGGAAAATAATGAAAGGTATTAATCTTTCTGAAATGGACTAATAAAGAAATAGTGTCAACCTTTTTGAACAGAGATAGTATATGCTAACACTGTAAAATGCTTTTTTAAAACTATTAAGCTATTTTAACCTGTTGTTATTTTTTATTTTACTAATTTTGGACGTTTACCTACAGTTATCTTTTAGTTAGGTAATTTGATAGTGTAAAAATTACTGTTAGTTAAATTAAGTTAATATATTTTAATTGCTTTCATAGAAGACCTAAATGAAGCAAAATGATTATTGAAGATTCATATAGCGAGCCCATCTAGTTTGGAATCAAAACATAGTTGTTGATATTGTAATGTGTTTCTTTTCAGACAAATTTAGCCCGCTAAGTTAACCGGAGACCGAATTTTGAATAGTGAAATAAAAAAAAGGCCATTTGTGCAAATGCCCATTTCAATTTATCTGATGTTCTTTCTATAATGGGAAGTTCCAAATATTTGTTACTGTTCCGATGATAATACTACTCTACAACTTCCAATGATTTACTATTCAAATTTTATATTGTATTAGGATGTTTTCTCTATCAAATTAACAATTATTCAGTTAATATTTTCTTCCACTGCCACTAAGATATATTGCAAGTTACATTAACTAAGAGAGCATATTGATTAATAAAACATTAAGAAGGAATATGCCAGAGAGTAGCGATGGGAAATTAGAAATGTAGTGCAAAAGAACTCTAGATTTTTCGTTTAGAAATCTAAAACTTCTCTTGTGTTAGAAATTTAATAGTTTGACTTTTGAGCCTGGTATGATATTCATATACTTGAATTGTCGTTTCTTCAATTCCTTTACCTACATTACTGTTGTTATTTTTATTTATACATCAATATAAATTATCTTCTATTGTTCATGATGTGTTACTCTTTACTATAATGCACAATTTTGTTCTAGTTTTTGACTTAAAGCCTATCTGAACTTGGACTTCTGTTTTCTTTTCGCCATTGACATCATTAAGAAAGACTGCATATCATTGTGTCCTCAATTTTTTGGGTCTTATAATATTGGATTATCATTTGATTTAGCGAGAAACTCCATTTTGACGAAAATGGACATACCACCTAAATATGCTTATAGGCTCTTAATGTCTCCTTCTTCCCTAGAATCTACTGGTCCTGAAGAAATTATCGATGATGTTTTGTGGATGCTGTAATTTGAGGTTTCTTTTGGTGTTATTGGACTTGGCCTTGGTGTTTCACTTCTCTCGTGAGTGTATTTAATTGATCATACCTTATAATAGTGGCTTCATGGTTATCTAAATTGACAAAGAGACACTTCTGTGGAACACAACATTCTCTACTGTCCTAAGTTTTTGTGTGCAAATCCTTTGACATTCAACAACACTTTTAACAACTATAGTTTGCATATATGTGCATATCACTTGGCAATAGCAATGAACGAGAGTCAAATTCTCTTTCTTCTTATTGTAAATGTTAAAAGAAGGTAGAAATTTTAGCAATCAATGATT